TGCCATAGCACAGGTGAATTTTTTAAAGGCCACCTGGCTTCCTTTAATCTGATTCCATCCTCACCCAGCAGCCATTTGATCACTTATTTGGGGTCGGGGTTACCGTGACACGGGGAGAGAGCTTCCTAAATAACTAGCCTTGCTTTTGGAGCCCAACAGGCGGAGTGCATATTTCAGCTCGCAGTTGCCGTCCCTGTCTTGGCAACCTCAGGATGGGAAGAGATGCACATGGAACAGAAGGAAGGAGGGAGACCCGCCTCTTTCCCCTATTTTGATCCCTGGAAAGGTCTATCCCTAATTGAAATGAAATGCTTGGAGCCCGTGAATGTGGTATCGTAATTTTTGCTAAGCCCAAATCAGTTGCTTAGTATCTGATCGTCCCCGAGTGAACTGAAAGAACTGAGTTTCCGAAACTAAAAAGTTTCCAAGCAGGACTCCAATGACCCCAGCAGGACCTCCCTGGACTCCTGCTGGCATTCTTGGCTGTCTTTTTAGCTGCAACATGAGTTATTGGGAAGGCTCTTTCAGAAGAAAGAAGTGTAAGGCGTTTCCAGAGACTTGGAACAGACTCTGAGACACACAGCCTCCTCTTCACCACCCACTCCTCTCCAGAAATCTGAAGACGGGGTAGCTGGTCAGATGCTTTTGGCAAATCTTCAATCAGCTCCTCAGATGGCTGGTTTCAAGTGGCTGTTCTGGGCTTCTACACGCAGAGAAATACAATGGATACTTGGAATCAATAGCTCTAATAATAAACAGTTTCCAAATCGCATTTTTCATTTTTCCTTCTTTAGAGAGCACGAAACAAATGTGGTAAGAGTTCATTGAAACATCATCTTATTTTCCACAGCCAACTGATATATGGGAGAACTCCTTATAAAGCATTAGACCAGCTCTGCTGTTTATTTCCATCACAAACCGGGTCGCTTTTTATGAGAATCTGTGTTTAGAGAAGGTGAAGAGAGAACCAAGTGGGAAAAGAGGAGAATTTTTCTTAAAACTTTCTACGATTTACTGAGCTAATCCTGACAAGAACCTCACGGGTTCTGAGTCCTTATTCCCGTGTTGAAGTTAAGAACATGGTGGGATGAGGTTTAGAAAGTGCACAACTAGCCCAAAGGCCCACAACCAGAGGACAGGAGAGCTTTCTTCCTCCTCCTCCATCCTCCTCCTCTCTCCTTTCCTCTCTTCCTCCTTTTTATTTTTGACAGCTTTATTGTGGTATAAATTACATTACATAACAGTTATCCATTGTAAGTGCACAATACAATGATTTTAGTAAATGTATTAGATTATGCAACCATCACCACAATCCATTTTACACCATTTTCATCCCTCCAACAAGTTCTCTCACATCCATGTGTGGTCAGCCCTCAGTCCTATCCCCAGCCTGGGCAATCCCTGATGTGCTCTCCTTTCTGAAAGTTTGCCCTTTCTGGACATTTCATATAAATGGAACCACACAATATTTAGTCTTCGGATTTGGCTTCTTTCAACCTGTGTCAACACTTTGCTCCATTTTACTGCTTAATAGTATTCCATTGTGTGGACTGACCACATACTGTACATCAGTTCACCCACCGACGGACATTTGGGCTGTTTCCAGTTTTTGGTTATTAGATATAATGCACATACAAGCACATGTATTTTCATTTCTCTTGGATATATACGTAGGCGTAGAATTGCTGGGTCATATGGTAACTTTAACTTCTTGAGGACTTTTGAGAAGTGTTTTCCCAAGTGGCTGCGCCATTTTACATTCCCACCTGTAATGCATGAGGGTTCCAATTTGTCCACATCCTCATCGACACCGTCCGTCTTTCTGGTTGGAGCCATTTTAGTGGGTGTCAAGTGGTACTGCACTATGGTTTTGATTTGCATTTCCCTAATAACTAATGATGTTGAGCATCTTTTCATGTGCTTATTGGCCATTCATATATATTCTTTGAAAAAATGTTCAATTCTTTACCCATCTTTTAATTGGGTTGTTTGTCTTATTATTGACTTGTAAGAGATCTTAATATGTTCTAGATACAAGTACGAAATATTTTATCAGATATTCGATTTGTGAATATTTTCTCCCAGTCTGTGGTTTGTCTTTTCATTTTCTTAAATGGTATCTTTTGAAGCACAAAAGTTTTTAATTTGATGAAATTCAATTTATCATCTTTTTCTCTTACAGATCATGTTTTTGGTGTCATATCTAAGAACTCTGCCTAACACAAGGTCATGAAAATTTTCTCTATGTTTCCTTCAGAAGTTTTATCATTTTCACTCTTATATGTAGGTCTACGATTCATTTAAAATTTGTGTACGGTGTGAGGTAAGGTTCAAGTTCATCTTTCTAATATGGACAACCAGTTTCTTTACTTGCTATGTGTTTTTTCAGATTTTTTATTTCTTCCTGAGTCGTTCTTTTTGGTAATTGTGGCTTTCGAAGAATTTGTTCATTTGTCTAAGTTGTCTAATTTGTAGCATAAAGTTAAAATCCTATGGGTGATGCCCCTGCTTTCATTCCTGATTTTGGTAATTCACATCTTCTCTCTTTTTCTCTGTCTTTTTTTTGGAGTGGAGGGTCAGGGGAGTATAGTTACAGGTTTGTCAATTTTGTTGATCTTCTCTAAGGACTAACTTTTGGGCTCACTGATATTCTCTGTTGTTTTCCGTATTCTATTTCATTGATTTCCACTGTCGTCTTTAATATTTCCTTACTCCTACTTGCTTTGAGTTCAGTTTGCTCTTCTTTTTCCAGTTTCTTAAGGTGAAAGTTTCAGTTTCTGGTTTTTTCCATGCTCCACTCCAAATCAAGTCAGCCCCTCAGACAGGGATGCTGCTGGTTTTCAGGGCTTGTCCTGTCCAGGTAGAACGTCCTCACCTCTGAAGGCAGGTTAGCGATTAGAGCAGCCCCAGGACAGAATGCCACAGACTCCCACTGTTCTCACCCAAAGTTCATCAGTTTTTCATGAATAACCACTCCTCAAATTCCAGAGTCATGAAATGATTGTTTCTGACTATTTTGTCTAGGCTTATCATTGCCTTTCAGGGAAGGATGTGCCAGGCTACTAATTTCTGCCATGCCAAAACCCTGTCTCTACAGTCCCTTTTCTCTCCTTCACAGGAAACAAAATTTGGTTTTATCCTTTACCCCATCTAGTTCTCTCACAGAATCTGTGTCTCTGGGGGGTGGAGACATGGGGGCAGAGCTGGTTTTTAAAAATTGCTTATGTTGAAAAATACTGCTCTGAGGTTATCAACTTTAAGAAAAAAACAAAAAACGAAACAAAACAACAAAAAAATTGCACTTCAGTGTATCACTCAACTTCCTCAATGTTAATGATGGAAAGTCTGTGCCTCTTAGAACCTGCATTCATAATAGAGAATTCCGGTGGCACTCTTTATTATCCACTTTGTAAGGAAGGCAAAAAACCCCCAGTTCCTCATCTTGCTGATTCTGCAGATGCTCCTAGCACTAACAGGGAGGTGGGAGGGAAAATAGGATCACAGCAGGAAAATGCTTAACGGCCAGTGTGGGGAGCTGGGCTGTCTGCACACTGCAATGAGTAGGAGTTTCGAGCTTGTGCCAATTTGACATGGGCATAGACTACGCAGTTTCTACAGGCCCCATTCTATTCCTTGAAGGAAACTGGGCCTTCAAGAACAAGAACATCCCTAAAGAACAACGGATGAGACCCAGGAGACCTGGGTTGAAGGCTCTGGCTCTGCCACTTTCTCCCATTTAACCACTTTGGGGCTTCGTTTTCTTATTTGTAAAATGGGTGTAATAATAAAGTCTTCCTCACAAACTTGCTGGGATGTGATCAAATTCAATGACCATCACGGATGGCCTTTACAGATTATTAACAAGCTATAAATGTAGGCTTTAGATTATGAAATAATACCCTGTGTTCAAATCTCAATATGTGGCGTCAAAGAAAGAGACTGTCTCCCCACTTCCCTACCTCAGGACACAAGGAGGCTGCAGCCCAGCAGACAACTCACATACACTCCCATAATCAAACTCCTTTACTGCTCCCCTCCCAGGTGACAGGGATGAAGGATGGAAGCAGATGCTCAGAGAAGGACATGGCTGTGCTTCAGCACCTGGGGAGGTGGACCAGAGCAGATGGTGCCTATCAAGACCCACACTTGTACCTCTTTATACTGTGGAAAGTGGGGGTCTTTCATCTGAGTGGGCTGTGAACGGAAGCCCACTGGGAGAGAACTATTTCTGTCAAATGATTTTTCATGCCTAAACTTTATGTTCACACTGAGTCATCACAGCCCCCTGCCACGCTTGTCAAATTATCACTGTACCACAGCAAAGCTACACATTCACAAAGGCAAACTTTTAAGAGGAAGCTCTCTTTTTAATTAAAAAAAGGACTTTAAGGGTTCTTCGTATGAGGGATTAGGATTGGTTTTAGTATCTTTAAAATGGATTGCTGGAAATTTTTAATCCTAGGATTTCCAATATCTAAGGAAAAATAAAGCCATTCATCTCAATATATACCAGAAATATACATCTTTGTTATGCCTTAATAAAGGAAATGCTGGATCCTAGGCTGGATAAATAGGACAGCAGTCTAAGATGTAACATTTCCAGGTTTATATCATGGAAACCAGAGTTCAGCTATGATGATAATAAAAGGGAATAAAGAGCAGCCACCAGGAACTACAGCTTTCACAACAGAGGCTCCTTCTCAGAGCGGACTCGGACGCTCGGGTTTCAAAGAGCTCGGTGGCAGTGGCCTGCCTGATGGCACCGCCAGCTTGGCTCCAGTGCACCGGTCCCTCAGCCTTACCTCCGACCACTTTCCATCCCACCTCCTACTCAGGTCATCCTCAGGCCAAGTGAATGAAAACTTTGGGACTCCTCCCCGGGGACTTGGCACCGTCCAGCGCCCAGCCCCTCCTGCACGGGCTCCTCGTCTGTCCTCCCGCACTGGGGCTGAGCACAGGTGGGCAGTGACCAGAGGCTAAGGGCGGACCTTCAGGGTTACCTATTTGCCTTTCCAGGTCGGCGGCTTCATCAGGTGTGGCTCGCGGAAGGACGCCAGGGTCGCTGAAGCTGGTGCGCAGCAGGGTCCCCATCACAAAGAAGAACAGAATGCCACCGACCACGGGGATAGCAGGGGTGATTTTCACTGCTAGATACGGACAGCTGCCAGCAGGTTGGGAAGGCAAGAGGGGAGGGGAGAAAGAAAGGAAATACAATGTCAGTAATCAACAGGGATCACTCTGTATTTTCCAAGAAACTAACGGCTTTTTTGGAGAAGCAAAATTGATTTCCGTTAAAAATTCATCTATGTTTTAAGCATTTACATTTGGGGAGGTGTGCAATTCTCTCTTGTGGACAATTTAACCCCCCTTCTCAGCTACAATAATCCTCTGCTCCCACCGTGGTACTCAGGAAAGACATTGGCAGAAAAATTTAAAAAATCCTGCTTGTACAATCAATGTAAGATGCACAGAGCTTGCACCCTTTGTACTGTAAACACAGCACGTGATTTATGTGACTCTCCACCCATCTCTGGAATTGCATAACATAGGACGACACCAGCTTGGAACTGTCTTCATCATACCCGGCCCTTCCTCCCTGGGTCAGACAACTCAGAGCACAGAACACAGAGGACCACAAGCCACCCTCAAAAGGCAAGAAATCACTTTTTCAATATTTTGGGGCTAATCTATCCAAAAAAAGTTAATGAGCTATGGAAATGTACTTGCAGGCCGTTTCGAAGAGGATTAAAAGGATTTAGGCAGCTGGAATATGATAGTCTCATCTCTTCCAGGAGGCATTTGAGCTACCAACGGATGAACACGGCGCATCTCGATTCTATGAAACCCCTTCCCTGTCCTGCAGTGAATGAACTGACACGCAGCAGGGGCTGTGATGAGTCAGGGAGAGATGCCCTTGGGACAGACTGACATCTATGCCAGCTGGCTCCAGGGATCCAGGAACCAGGTTTAAGCACCACCCTGGTCCACTGTCATTGCTCCCTGACTCTGCAGAGGCGGTGAGAGGCAGAGTGAAAATTAGCTTGGTGCCTGGAGCTGGGTGAAGGATGGCCCTGCAATGACTATGGTCAGTGTATTGTCATCACATTCAGTAACCTCATGGGCATCGAGGAACACCACACAGAATCATGGAATTGTAACATCCAGAGTGGAAAGCACCTCCCAGATGGTCTGCCTCACCAGGGGATACTCTTCCAGATACTCAAGACCACACAAAGAGAGGGAGCTGGAGAAGAAAGGGTTGGAAAGCTTTGCTCAAGAGGTGAGCCAGGGGGCTCATTCCTGGGGTGTTGGGGACAGCACCCCACTCCTGTGCAGTACTTGCAGGGAGGTGGCAAGGTCTCTGATGGGATGGCAAGGGGATGCTGGCAAGCATCCAGGCCTCGGGGACCACAGGCCATGGTCCCCTTTGCTGAGACCAACATCAGGCAAGTTAGAGCATCTAGTTTTCGAGCGGCTGGTGACTCAGGTCTATGTGGAGTGGTTACTGTGAACTAAAGACCAAGGGCCTGTCCTGAATCCCCTGCTCTGCAGAAACCAGAGACTTTCCAGCCACTTTAAGAAGATGGAAGAGCAACCCCAAACATGACTAGGTAAGATTTCCCACCAGACAAGTGGACTGCGGTCTCCAAGAGAATCACCTGATTTAGAGACACAAAATATGTGACATTTCTAACTTGTTTCATCTTTCCCACACCAGCTCCCCTGCAGAAACAGAACAGAATGAACGACAGAAAGTATCAGATCACACTTGGGCTGGATTGCCTGTTGTGATTTCTCTTCACAGGATTCATGGGAAACCATAAAAAACTATTAATTGTCTGTCCTGCATCAATGTCCCCGCCCAAACTCCCAGGCACTTAGAGACTTTTTGAACATCGTCAGAGATTCTCATAGAAAAGTGAATTCGGCAAAGAGGACAAGAAGATATACAGAGATTGCTGGGGGAAAAAGGAATACAAGAGTGTCTAAGCTGAAGAAATACCCTTTGTGAAAGCATTCACTTTAATTATGGAAAGGACTTTTTTAATCCAATGGATTTTGTTGAGTAAAAAAGAGTCACTGCTTTTCCTAGAGTTTTTTCAGACAAACACTAACATAACTAAACTCTTCAGTGGGTTTCCAATTTTCTTAAAAATTTGATTTTATAATTTTAGGTACTGAAAAGCTTCAAATGAAACACTTTCCTGCAACAGAGATCCACTAGTTTTGAAAATTAGAAAGAAAACATTGAAAAGATGGTGCTGCTTGGGGTGCCTCCTGTTTCCGTTTTTGTTTTGCCTTTGGGAGCCCTTCTTTTATTGGGAAATAAATACAGAGTCAAACAGGTGGGCCAGCCCTACAGCCTAACACAGAACTTGCATTTCAACTTGACACATGTAGAGAATAAAAGTCTTGTCAGGAAATGACCATCTTCCCTTTAAAGATTCAGTATAAAGTGACAATCAAAATCCCATTTAATACTGCCCTGAAATGTTCACATGGCTGCATCCCAGCTCTAGGGTACGGTACAGTGCCAGGGGCTACAGAAATAGATACCTTTTCAAGGCATGTCTATTACGTTACATGGAGCATGTTTGGACTGTGACATAGAGCTTTTATGAAGAGCTGGAGATAAATATCAGTTGCTGCAAGTCTATTGATCAAATCTCTGACTGTGATATGAATCAAGTTAATATCAAGGACCTCAACTCCAAAGAACATTAGAAAGTATTTGTGTCATAAAATATGACATTATCTTTGTTACTCTTATTGTCATATAAAAAGCAACCTGAAATTGTATTAAGCCTTGAAAATGTGCTAGTGTACCACAATCAGAAAGAAACACAGTCCATATTAAAGGCACACAATTGACCCTGATACTAATAAATTTCCATTTATATAGATTAGCCTTAAAATTTTGTTTTAGTCCAAAAGAATCTACTCTAGGTGGACCTCTTTTTTTTTTTTTAACAGAATTGCTAGGAAAATGATCAATTGTGTAGAGGAGAATTTTTCCAGAACTTAAATTCATAATTCAACAGAAGAATGCCTGTTTGAACAAAGGTGGAGAATTCAACAGGCCAACTTTTTCCTCTTTCTCATTATTAATGAGTTTCAATAAGAAACAACTGCAACAGTTGTTAATAAGCAGCTGCACCCAGGTCACAGCTGGACAATATTACCTGGAGAGACCAGCCAGTAGGATGTGATCCACCTTGGGTGTTTAGGGGTGGAATTTACTTAGCTCCATTTGGCTTCTCCAAAGATGGACACTTCAGTGCTGTTGGAACCCTCCTGTGGAGTTGATTTAGTAGATCTTAGGTTATGGTGTATTTGTTTTTCCCTTTTGGTTCTGAAATGTAACTTGGTTGACCTCAGAGTTTGCCTGCTCACGGCAAGATGCCGTTAATGAGTAAGCCATGTCCTAAACGGTTTCTTGTTGTCCCAAGTGCACTGTATGTGAAGCTACCCACTGCTCCAGGCTGATGGCCCTGGAGGACTCCCACCGCTTCAACCCGCCTCTCCCCACCTCCCGCCGAGGATGTCTGCTGCCCTTGCCAATATCTGACATTCAGAATTAGAGATCAACGTCTTTAACTTTTCTGTCCCCTGGCACATTCTCACGGAGGAGACAAGACCCTGTGATTTAAGTTGTCTGCACCTGAGTGTCAATTAATTTATTCAGCCCTAGTCTGGGAAAGGAGGAAGACGAAGAATCTAGTTGATGGGTAAATGCCTACCACCCTGTGAAAAACTCAGATGGATCCTGACTTTTCTGGTCATCAGATGAAGGTAACAGAAAGTCCTTCAGTCACTTTAAGTGACAGACAGTCTCCTTAACCATTTCAAAGTGTAACAATCCTAATTACCAGTGGAAATTTCTAACTTGGTTTTGTGTTAAACCTCCTCCCCCTCCCCAGCCGGCCAAGTGCCGTTTTTGGCCCCTCTGCGGCTGGAGAAGAAAGGACATGGGGGTAGGAAGGGGGCCGGGATTTGGAAGGCCCGGCCAAAATTTGGAAGGCGCTGATTTGGAAGCTCTGTTACAAGGCGGCTTTGTGTTCTCTGGGTCTACCAGATGTTTAAACCTGTCCCTCTGGAGTCTGAGTCCTTCAGAAGCCCCCGGAAGCCTAAGGGCACTGCCCCGGGGGTACCCGTCTCCTCTCTCCCTCTTCTTGGGTAGAGAGGAGACAGCCTTCCTCCCGCCCTTAGGCCCATCCTTCCACCGCACTGTGGCCCCATTCCCCGCCTCTCATGAACCTCAGGGGTACTGCCCTGAATTCCTCGGCTCTCTGCTTCTCGCCTGGGGGACAGAACAGCCATCTCAGCCCTCTGCCTGCCCCACCTGAGGTTACCCCAAACACACCGACACATCTCTGTTCCAAAGCCTGCAATGACTCCCCTTCTGCCAAATCAAGTTCAAGCTCCTTCTCTGGCGTCCATACCCCATGGTGCCTAGTCTCCAGTCTCCCCTTCTCATCTCCTGCTCTACCCCCCTTTTCACACATACGGGGACAGCAACCCTGACCCCTGGCCTGCCCAGAAAGGCGCCTGACACCCAGCCCTGGTGTCTGGAACACCCTCACCCCTAACTCAGCTTGTTAAAGCTGCCCCAACTTTCAAGTTCGCATAAGGACTTGGTGAAAAGATTTTCTTGGCTCCACCCCCCGAGCTAAAGTGCTGGCTTCTTTTCCTAAAGCTCCGTAATATTTTTGTTTGCTTCTCTTAATGGTACTTGTGGCTGTTTGTGGACATGCCTCATGAAACTCACTGGACTGGAAGTCCTGGAGGGTAAGACTGGGCCCTGGTCAGCATGTGTCCTTCACAGCACCAGGCACAATGCCTCACACAGGGTAGGTATTTGACAAGTACTTGTTGAGCAATTGAATGAATGAGACCTACTCACTGAATTTTACAGTAACACAGAAAAGAGCAGGAAAGTCAAATCAGCCATATTCTCAGCATTGACAATGTGCCCTGCGTCTAGAACTTGCTTCTCTAACTTCTAAGCTTGCTAGGTCTTGTAATGTCCTTCAAACACGTGCTAAGGATCTGCCCTGTTCAGGATGCTTCCGCCACCGAGAAAAGGTGGGATTGCGCACACTGAGTTTAATGTGTGTGTGCCACACACTCTAAAGTTCTAGCAGATGAAGCACCGTGTGT